TGGACGGCTGTCCTATTTATATGTTTCGAATTTAATAAAATAGACTATTGTCTTGGCCCGAGTGATGTCATTTTTTTTGCTCTTTGCGACGAAGAAGACGCAAAACCCAACTTAATTGAATTTTTATTCTTGCGTAGCGCAGTATGTGTATTTTGTAACGCAAAAAGCAAAAGCTCATATTGCGTTCTTGGTTGTAACCTTGTTAATTTGTTATGCGGCAACAACATTAAATTATTATTATGCAACACCTATAAATTTTATTTTTAATTAATTACGACAAAAACATTTCATCAGGTATCTTTTAATCATGACCTCATCAATGACTCATTTTTGACATTTAAATTTAGTAATTATCAATTAGTCATCATTTATCATTCTATTTTATTTATTTTATTTTATTGGACAAAATCATGTAAAAAGTCATGTTATTTGTAATACTTCAAGAAGTACAAATATGCTTGAAATTTCCTTCAGCGAAAAAATTTTTTTTAAAAACAATTGATTTTTCAATAATGACACTTTCATTAATTGATTCATAACCCTTTCTGATGATTAATGGTTTGGCCAACATTTAATTATTAGTTAGGAACCCCTTTTATTGGTTTTACTATATTGCTTGTAGGGACGCCTCAAGTATTGTAGTTGTGCTAGGTTTGATGATTCTGCAATACTGCAATAGAGCAGAATTTCTATTCGTAATACAAATTTTTGTTTGAATTATTATTCGAATTGACATCATTCGTTTATGATTATTATTCGAATTGACATCATTCGTTTATTATTATTATTCGAATTGACATCATTCGTTTATTATTATTATTTGAAATCATTATTCGTTTATTATTATTATTCGAATTGTATTATTCGTTTATTATTATATTATTATTCGAATTGTATCATTCATTTATTATTCAAATTGTTATCATTCATTTATTATTTGAATTATCATCATTCGTTTATTATTTGAATTATCATCATTCGTTTATTATTTGAATTATCATCATTCGTTTATTATTTGAATTGAGATCATTCGTTTATTATTCGAATTGTATCATTCGTTTATTATTCGAATTGTTATCATCATTCATTTATTATTCGAATTATCATCATTCGTTTATTTGAATTGTTATCATTCGTCTATTCGAATTATTATCATTCGTTTATTATTATTATTCAAATTATCATCATTCATTTATTATTCGAATTTGTTATCATCATTTGTTTATTCTTCGAATTACCATCATTAAAATTGACATCATTCATTTATCATTCGAATTGTATCATTCATTTATTATTATTATTATTCGAATTGACATCATTCGTTTATCATTATTATTCGAATTGACATCATTCGTTTATCATCATTATTCAAATTGACATCATTCGTTTATCATTATTATTCGAATTATCACCATTCGTTTATTATTATTATTCTAATTGTATCATTCGTTTATTATCCGAATTGACATCATTCGTTTATTATTATTATTCGAATTGACATCATTCGTTTATTCAAATATTTGTTTGCTTGAATTATTCATTTTATTTCGTTTATTCATTTTATTATTCGAATTGTTTATTCGTTTTATTCAAACTATTCGAATTACTCGAATTATTATTATTCATTTATTTGTTTTATTTAAATTATCAATTGAATTATTTATTTTATTTGTTTGTTTGTTTGTTTATTTGAATTATTCATTCATTCGTTTTATTTGAATTATCGAATTATTTATTCATTTTATTCAAATAATGTAATTCAAATACTCAAATTCATAACGAGTAAAACAAATAATTCGAATAAACCCTTATTCAAATAGAAACTCTAATACTAATCAAGCAGTATTATTACAGTTTTACAACTTTGGGGTGTCAATGCTGAATTGTTGTACAGTGCAGGACACCTAATCCCGCAACTTACTGCGCCACGACGACGAATCTTGGGAAAAAATTTCCAATCAAAAATGCAATAAAAATTGTTTTGTCATGTGATATTTCCTAGTCATTCCATAAATAG